CTCATCCTTCTCCTTCTTCTCATCCTTCTCCTTCTCCTTCTTCTCATCCTTCTCCTTCTCCTTCTCCTTCTTCTCATCCTTCTCCTTCTCCTTCTTCTCATCCTTCTCCTTCATCCTCATCTTCTCATCCTTCTCCTTCTCCTTCTTCTCATCCTTCTCCTTCTCCTTCTCCTTCTTCTCATCCTTCTCCTTCTTCTCATCCTTCTCCTTCTCCTTCTTCTCATCCTTCTCCTTCTTCTCATCCTTCTTCTCATCCTTCTCTTCTTCTTCTCATCCTTCTCCTTCTTCTCATCCTTCTCCTTCTCCTTCTTCTCATCCTTCTCCTTCTTCTCATCCTTCTCCTTCTCCTTCTTCTCATCCTTCTCCTTCTCCTTCTTCTCATCCTTCTCCTTCTCCTTCTCTTCTCATCCTTTTCCTTCTCCTTCTTCTCATCCTTCTCCTTCTCCTTCTCCTTCTTCTCATCCTTCTCCTTCTTCTCATCCTTCTCCTTCTCCTTCTTCTCATCCTTCTCCTTCTCCTTCTTCTCATCCTTCTCCTTCTCCTTCTCCTTCTCCTTCCTCATCTCCAAGGGCATTTAAATTAAAGGTACAGTGTTCTGCACTAATTTAAAGGCTCTCTGAAGCCTAGAAACCCTTTTTATAAGTCATCTTCGTAGCGAATAAATTCGCATCGAATCAAATTTCTTCCTGAAATTCGCCGAATCAGCCGAATCGAATTTTTGAATACTTCGCTCATCTCTAATTACAAGGCAATTTAAGGTTTTTCAGTGCTGGGATGTTTTAATTGACATCTACTCCATCACACAACATTCTTCCCAAAATAATTTTATATATTTTTTTGGAGAAAGAGCTTTCTTTTGGTGGTATCTACATTAGCTAAGGAATGACAGCTGTGAACCCTGAAGTAAAGGAATAAACATCACTTCCAGGTTCGTGCATTGCAGAGGATTTCCGGAAATGGATATTCATCAATCTCCTTCAATGCAATGTAGGCAGGCAATTTACCTTCATCCCAGGCTGCATGGAGGAATGGAAGAGCCCAGAAACCACCATAGGTCACCATCTTCCTGCTACTGTAAAAGTGATTTGGTTAACCACTTGCCTACCGTGCACTTATACCCCCTTCCTGCCCAGGCCAATTTTCAGCTTTCAGCTCTGTCGCACTTTGAGTAACAATTGCGCGGTCGGTCATGCAACACTGTACCATATGAAATGTTTATTATTTTTTCACACGAATAGAGCTTTCTTTTGGTGGTATGTAGTTTTGAAAAAAAATGGTTTTTTTCTTTGTTTCTATTATAAAAATTTTGCAAACAGGTAATTTTTCTCCTTCACTGATGTGCGTTGATGAGGCTGCACTGATAGGCAGCACTAATGGGTACTGATAGGCGGCACTGATGAGGTGGCACTGATAGGTGGCAATGATGAGCTGGCACTGATATGCAACACTGATGGGCACTGATTGGCGGCACTGCTGGGTGGCACTGACTGATGGCACTGACTGGCGGCACTGCTGGGCACTGACTGGCGGTACTGATGGGCACTGATGGGTGGCACTGTTGGGCAGCACTGATGGGTGGCACTGATGGGCACTGATGGGTGGCACTGCTGGGCACTGAATGGTGGCACTGCTGGGCATAGGTGGGTGGCGCTTCTGGGCACTGATGGGCACATGTGGGTGGCACTGATGGGCACAGGTGGGTGGCACTGCTGGGCACTTGTGGGTGGCACTGCTGGGCACAGGTGGGTGGCACAGTGTGAAGAAAGTGCAGCCAATAATCGGCAACTGCATTTACCGATGATCTGCTGTGTCATTGGACACGGCTGATCACATGGTAAAATGCCGCTGTGATTGGCCTTTTACCACATCACGTGATCAGCTGTGTCCGTAGGAAACAGCGATCACGGAGATCGCTGGGTGTGCACCCCCAGGAGCGCTCAGGAGGGCGCGTTCTGTGAGGACATCATATGATGCCCTCCTAGAACTGGCCGACCGCAGTGAAGCCGTCATTCGGCTATCTGCGGTCGGCCAGTGGATCTGAACCCAAAGCCATAATTGTATTATATTGCAGCTTTCTAGACTTTAGTGCAGTGGCTGCATTTGAATCCATTTTTTCAGTTTATTCATTTTATTTTCACCTGGTAATCCTGCAAATAACCCACTTCCTCTACTTGGTTGGATACATCACACCTTCAAGGCATCTATGGAGTATCTATTGAGGTAGCCAGAGTTGTCACCCTAGGAGGCTGCTCTCCTGATATAGACTACAAACATGTCTGTAGCCAGGTGACGGCGACTGCCACATAGATATGTGCATAGCATTGCGCACAGGCGCAGCGCTAATAGAAATTATCACAGGCTCGCACATACACACCCAGTTTTCTGGTGCCAGATGGACTATTTGGGATGCTCTTGCTCTGATCTCCATTGATGACCTGGCTTGTAATTGACCTGATTCTGGATTCTGCCTGTACCTTTGCCCACCTGTTCCTGACCCCGGCTTCGTTCCTGACCATGCTTCCACCTACGCTTCTGTACCTTGTTGCCCGTCTGTGACCTGGCCCCTGCTTCTGACTTGGCTTCATACTATTTCTGAGCTTCTGCTTTGGCTGTCCTTCATTACTGCTTCATAACTGTTCCTGCCTAAAGCTTGCTGAGAGCTTCAACAAGCTACATTTCCAGCACCTGCAGTACATGTGGAGTGCCCCTTTAGCCTCAGCTGGTCCAGCCTGCATCACATCTGCTCCTGGCCTGATGTTCTGCTTGACCTCTCAAGCCTGCATCTCCTGCTGCACACTCTGCTATCAGCACCGTGTTCCTCCTGTCACTCGGCACATCTGTTCCAACTTCAGTGGGGTCTGTGCTGGAGATACAGTCTCCTACCATTGGTGCCCAACCTCTTTCTGTCATCACTCTAGAGACACTGCATGCAGACACCTTTACACCTCAAAATTAGGATATCTTGCTTTGAGCAATACCACAGCCTATTTGTTTAACTTCATTTAATTAGTGGTATTCACTACTGTTTATGGGACCCACCATTGCTAGCAGAAGATAATGGACTTCAGCATATCAGAAACTTCAAACATCACAGGACTCAAGTTACAATATATAATTAAAAGTATCCCATTTCTTCCAAGACTATTGTTATTTAACTGCTTTCATGCCGCCCTATAGCAGAAATTCTGCTACAGGGCAGCAGGGGTGCGCAAAATCATGTATATACATGATTTAGCATATCTGGGTAGGGGGGCGCGCATGAGCCCTAACCGCACTGCTATTCGTCACCTCGGCTGTCAATCACCGGGTCTTGGTCGGTGATTACTCGATCACCGAGGATTTCCAACGGGGGGAGAGAACTGTATGTAATTAATACAGTTCTCTCCCCTGTCAGCTCCAGCATACTGCTTTGTATGGTTCTGCATTGCAGAGCCATACAAAGCAGTGTGCTTACAGTTGAAAGCACAGACACAGCTTACAGTAAAACAGCACACAGTTAACCCTTTGATTGCCCCAGATGTTAACCCTTCCTGCCCAGTGCCATTAGTACAGTGTCAGTTCTTTTTTTTTAGCACTGATCACTGTATTGGTGTCACTGGGGATGTCAGTGACATCAAGTCAGTCCCCCCCAGTGTCTGAATGCCCGCCGCAGTCCCGCTAAAAGTTGCTGATCGCCGCCATTACTAGTAAAAAAAAATTAAAAATTCCAGTATCTATACCGCCATTTGTAAATGCTATAACTTTCATGTAAACCAATGAATTTACACGTATAGGGATTTTTTTTTTTAGCAAAGACACAGAGCAGATTACATTTTGGTCTAAATTGATGATGAAATTTGATTTTTTTTTTTTTTTTAATTTTTTTACTGGATATGTTTAATAGCAAAAAGTCAAAAATATTGTTTTTTTTCTCAAAAGTGTCAGTCTTTTTTTTTTATTTATAGCGCAAAAAATTAAAAAACCGCACAGGCGATCAAATACCACCAAAAGAAAGCTCAATTTGTGGGAAAAAAGGACGTAAATTTCATTTGGGTGCAGCATTGCATGACCGAGTAATTGTCAGTTAAAGTAATGCAGTGCAGTATTGCAAAAAATGGTCTGGTCAGGAAGGGGGGGGGGGGGGGAATCCTCTGGAGGGCGAGGGGTTAAGTTAGGATACTTATATCTATTTATGTCAGAGTATATTTGTACATAATTCTCTGCATCCACCATTGCAGCATTGGTGGCCTAGAGATAGCTGATAAGTCAACAAGCCTTTTCTTCCCCCTCTTACTGCTGGTGTTGCAGCTTACCACTCATGACTATATCATTTGTTAACCTCTTCGCGCCGGCGCCTCTCGGCCCTTTAAGAGTTTCAGATGCCGGGAGGGTCATGTGACCACTGTGATTCGCCGACACGGCGGTCACATGATTGGAAAAGGTCCCGATCGAAAGGGGAGATCGGGACCTTTCCGTGAATCACAGATATACGCAGGGCGCGCGCTCTCAGCACATATGTATTTTCTAATTGCACGCAAATATGTGGCTGCTCGGCATCAAGGCCCAGACGCCGAGAGGCCACATATTTGCGTGCACTCGGCGTTAAGGGATTAAACATTGCTGATTGATTATTCCTATTTTGCTAGTGTTCTATGTTTATGCTTTAACTGGGGTTGTGATTCCTACACCCATTATTCTTGAGGCTTACTCTTTTGAACAAGACTAATGTGATGGGAGTCACTTTGGGTGGGGGGCCCATGGAATCCAACTAACTTTGGAGAGGTGGGGAGACCCCTGTCTCAGATCCCCATATCCCTATTATGTGTAAGTCAGCCTGTGCCTATTAGGGGTACAGGGTGATCTGTCCTAATATTGTGTAGACATGTTTAGGAGATAGGTGGGGTGGAGGATTGTGGATTGTTTGGTGTTGTGGGGCTGCTTCCCATTGTTCTATTGTTTGTCAGGCTTGGGAGCAAACTATTATGGGATGCATGCGTTTATGTGTACTAGCTTAGTGGGGGGGGGGGGTGCAGGGGCGGACTGACCATTTGGAAACTCCGACACTGCCTGAGGGCCCGGGGTCAGTAGGGGGCCCCATGAGATGCCCTTGGTACCTTTTTCATAGGCTTTTTTGAATTTGGGCAAGGACACAGGGGCCCCATGATCCCCTATTGCCCGGGGCCCCATGAGTTGTCAGTCCGACCCTGGGGGGGTGTCTCCAGCAGCCCTCCCTCCTGATGGGACTGTCTGCTGGTGTGAAGTTTGAATACCTGTGTGTCTCTTGTTACTAAATGTAGATTGCCCCGCCCTGTCTCATCATTCAGGGAGGGGGGATTGTCCCCTGAGTGTATATATCTTGTATCTATGTTCAAATAAAGTAGTCTACCTCCTGGTTTACTACAAGACTGGTGTCGTCTAGTCTTGTATGGTCGGCTGTGGTGTCTGTGGTCGGTGTTCGGACAGGGAAGCGGTATTCTAACGGAAGCAGGGGCGGACTGACTATTTGGAAACTCGGGCACTGCCCGAGGGCCCGGGGTCAGTAGGGGGCCCCTTGAGATGCCCCTGGTACCTTTTTCATAGGCTTTTTTGAGTGTGGGCAAGGACACAGGGGCCCCATGATCCCCTATTGCCTGGGGGACCCATGAGTTGTCAGTCCGCCCCTAAACGGAAGTACTGTCTGGGTTGGTTCTGTTACACTAGTGTTCTATTTTTATGCTTTAGGGGGGGTTGTGAATCCTAAACCCATTATTCTTGTGGCTTCTTCTTTTGAACAAGACTATTATAGAGGTGTTACTAAAAAATGGCCTCTTGCATTATTATCCTATACTGTTTAAATATGTCTGACCCCATTGTATCAGAGGAGTCAGAAGCCTTGAAAGGTCAGGGTAACCACTGGGGGACAAGCATTATCAAGCGGTCCCTGCGGGGGGTAGCGCTACATATCCATATCTTTTTATCTGCATTACATGGAGAGCAGGGCAATTGGTAATTTCCAGAAGAGAGATCGGATGGAACATATTCTTCGGTACAGCTCAGTGGATATAACAAGGACAGTTCATTAGCTATCTCCTGTATTTGCTGACTATGTTCTGAGCTGGAAAAAAATATCTGAGAACTGTAAGTTGCAATTTATTGCATTTTTGTTCTTGAGTTTAGTTATCCTTAAGCAAAGATGGCAAAACAAAGAACCCAAAGGAAAGCCATGAAAACATGAAGATAGCCCACAAACTTACGGAAATGTTGAATTCCAGTGTTCCTTAAGCTCCCTAGTTGTGGCCTCCAGACCTTCTCCATTGGTAAAACCTGATATGGGAGAATAAAGGGAAGTGACATGGGTGTAAATCAATGTTATTCTTAGCATACCAACAAAACTGCTGGCAGTGCTGAACTCCAGTGCTGAAAGGCCAGAATCTTCTACAAATTGAGTAACATGGAAGTATCCTGTACTGTTTGTGAATTATTTTATACAGATGACTATTATTAACAATTTTTTTCAACTCAAAACAGCGCAAAACACACAAAAACAATCTGTAAAATACCCAACCTATAAATAATATTAGTACAGATATTACAATTTTTATATACCGTATTTTTCGCTCCATAAGACGCACCTGACCATAAGACGCACCTAGGTTTTAGAGGCAGAAAACAGGAAAAAAAATTCTGAACTAATGGACTGCAGACATAGTGCAGGGATGACCAGAGACTGCGGACAGCACAGGGATGACCAGAGAATGCGGACAGCACAGGGATAACCAGAAACTGCGGACAGCACAGGGATGACCAGAGACTGCGGACAGCACAAGGATGACCAGAGACTGCGGACAGCACAAGGATGACCAGAGACTGCGGACAGCACAGGGATGACCAGAGACTGCGGACAGTACAGATGAATGCTGACCTTTGGGGAGGTGGGGAGCGGGTACCTGAATTTGACAGGTACCCGCTCTTACTTCTGCAGAGTTTTTGTTTGATCTTACCTGTTCCTCTATCCAGCCGCGCGCTGTCCCGGCTTCTGTAATGGCGCTCGGCATGACAGCCGGGTGCCCAGTGCGCATGAGCGAGAAGCACTTGCGCTTTGTGATTGGTCCGGCGGCTTCTGGGATCTGTCATGTGTCCAAGGTACCGCCTTACCATTCACAAAAAGCACCGCTTCTTGCGCATGGGCACTTGGCACCCGGCTGTCATGCTACAGAAGCCAGGAAGACAGCGCGCCGCTGGATAGAGGAACAGGTAAGATCAAAGAACAAAGAAGTAAGAGCGGGTACCTGTCCAATTCAGGTACCCGCTCCCCACCTCCCCAAAGGTCAGCAGTCCTCTCCATAAGGTCCCGCTGCAGAGCTGAGCGGCCGGCCCGGTATTCTGCACGGCGGCGGTGGAAATACCGGACCTTATGCATCTTATGGAGCGAAAAAAATACGGTAAGTGTCAAAAACAAAATAATTTGTGACACATACAAAAACAAAAAAAGTCCAGTGACATGTCCAAAAAAAAAACGTCCCGTGATAAAAAAACGAACTTATATTTTCATAAATTTTTTTGTTTTTGACACTTATATAAAAATTTTTATATCTGTACTAATATTATTTATAGGTTGGGTATTTTACAGATTGTTTTTGTGTGTTTTGCGCTGTTTTGAGTTGAAACTTTTTTTTTGTGGTTTTATACCTGTGTACAGTAGCATTTCACGTGGATAAGTGTGTTGGGAAGGAGGTCCTGGGCGCTGAGGTCTTTTTTCTTGTATTATTAACAATTACCTGCAATCAGTTTAAAATAAAATTGTCACTGTCGATTTTCTAAATGGTTCCTGTATGAATCTGTATACTGAAAATAAAGAATTTTAAATAAAATTGACCAAAATGGTTACGGCTGATTGAACATTATTATTTTTTTTCTTCTTTTAATAATACGAATTACCTGGAGATCAGAGGAAAAGTGCCCCCTTTTAAATAATTCATTATAAAATCAAAATTACATAGCACACTATAAAAATAAATATTTCTCCTCCTTGACAGAGTTTGCATAGAAGCCAAATCTAGCGTGTGGGTGCTTGTTCATGGTCTGTAGTAAAAAAAAAAAAGACAAAAAAAAAAAAAAAATCCCTGTTTAATCACTCCCCACATCCTCCTGATTCAGGTCCCAATGCACTGCGCTCTCTTTCTAACCTGAAAAATATCTGCAATAAACAGAAGTGTCCCTGGCCTCCATCCCTTTGGTTATTCAGCAAGAGTATTTTTTTGGGCCCAAATCGCAGGTCTGCTTCCAGTATTTCAGTAATATTTATTATGAATTTATCGTCCTCTATAGAATTTTTATATTTTGCTTGCCTACATAGAAAAACCACATTTTTATAGATGTTGGACTAGCTTACTCTCTCTGCGGCTTTCTGAACTTGCTTTTGCCTTAGCTCAGCGCTCTTTCTTAACTCGGAGATGCTGAACTGTGGATCGTGGAAGGCCAGGCGAAGACGAGTTTCAGAAGCGCAATTCCACAGAGCCTAAGGACAATTTTTTTTCTTTTTTCTTTTTTTTTTTTGAAGGCAGCACAGGCAACTTTTTTTAAAATCAAGGAGGTTACTGTGGCCTACACAGCTATTCCTTGAAGTGTAAGTGATACGCTTCACACCTACATTCTTAGGGAGTCTGAAAAGTAAGATGAAGGAACGTCTGGGAATAGACTCCTACGCTGATGTTATAATCAATTACTGTAGCATTCGCGTCGGAGTCTCCAGGCTGCAAGTGTAACCGCTGGCCTCTCTGGTGTGTCTGGAAGAACTGGTGCTAGCTCGAGGTCAGGTGTACAATTCAATTCCTTTTCAGGTTCCCCAAATGGAGACAAGAGAAATATTATTTCAAGTGCAGCACTTCCCATGTGGAAAATTAGCGTTTTCTTTCCTGGGCTTTCATTGCATTCCGTGCAGGATACGAGCGGCGCGGAGTGACTCTTGATGTCATTATGAGGCCTTCAAATGTTTGGTTAGATCTTGTAAAGAAAGAAAAAAAACTGTTACATTTTGGCACCATGGACTTTGGTAGAGAAACATAAATTGTTCTCACTTGAGAAATACTGTATGTTTTTGCATTTTGTAAGAGTTTTAGAACACACATTTGTCTGTGGAGAGGGAAACACCTGCTAGCAACGGAGATGGGTAGGTTGTCTAGAAAGAGGATGAAGGCCAAAGACTGGTGCTCTGCCTGACCATTATTACCAAAGGCATTGTACACTTTAAAAAGTTTTTGTTATTTTAATTAGGTGTTAGTCAGGGGCGGACTGACCATTCGAGAACTCGGGCACTGCCCGAGGGCCTGGGGTCAATAGGGGGCTCCATGAAATGCCCCTGGTACCTTTTATAGGCTTTTTTTGAGTGTGGGCAAGGACACAGGGGCCCCATGTGTAGGCAGCACAGTGGCTAAATGGTTAGCACTTACGCCTGGCAGTACTCGGGTCGTCAGTTCAAATCCCACCCAAGGCACCACCTGCCTGGAGTTTGCATGTTCTCCCTGTGCCTGCGTGGGTTTCCTCCGGGTACTCGGGTTTCCTCCCACCCTCCAAAGACATGCTGGTAGGTGAATTGGCTTCTGTCTATATTGTCCCTAGTATGTGTATGTATGGATGTGAGTTAGGGACCTTAGATTGTACACCCCTTGAGGTTTAGGGACTGATGTGAATGTACAATATATATGTAAAGTGCTGCGTAAATTGACGGCGCTATATAAGTACCTGTAATAAATAAATATATATATAATATATATATATATATACATAAAAATATATATATATATATGTATATATATATATACTGAATGTTGAAATGCGTTTTTTTTATAAATTACAAAATATATGAAAAATATTTAAAAAATATATATTTTTATATAAATATATTCTTCAGATTTTTTTTAATATATAAAAAAGTCATTTTAACATATATTTATAAATGCATTCTGAAAATGTAGATTAAATGTATTTTTAAAGACATACAGTGTATTTGAAAAAATGTATTTTTAAAAATATTTTTCATATATTTTCTAATATATAAAAACACATTTCAACATACAGTATATATATATATATATTTTTTTTTTTTTTGGACCAAAATTGTAGTATTTCAAATATATGTCAATATATTTGGGAAGAATATTTTAAAAATATATTTAAAATAATTTTTTTTCCATGTGGGAAGGAACTGCACGGGTATGCCGTTCCCTCAGAGCCCTGTAGCGTTCCCTGTAGAGCAGCCATCTGCAGTGTACTGGTCCAGCCCAGGTAAAGCAAGATTGGAGCAGCACATGGCACTTCACATACACCCTCCCTCCAGTAATTGTACCACCCAGGGCTTCTGTCCCTTTGCCTACCCCCTTGTCCCGGCCCTGGCCCTACCTGCTATCCACAGCTACTGTTCACATTTTGCAAGAAACTGATAGAGGCTGCAACAAAATGTTACAAGAGACTGTTGTAGAATGTTTGTATGTTTAAAAACAATATCAAAACCTTTCCAATGTTGCAACCTTACCTGTTATCCACAGTTACTGTTCACATTTTGCAACAGGCCGACAGAGGCTGATCACATGTTACAAGAGACTGTTAAAGACTCTTGCATGTATTAAAAGACTTTTCTTTGGTACAGATGACTGTCAGAGGCTGC